AACCTGGCCCTCTGCGATTTTGGTTTCAGCCTCTTGGGAGGGCCATTTTTCATCACTTCCAGGTACAGAACTTTGTTATCAACTAATAAGAAGCCAGGCTTGAATCCAGGGTGATGACACTGTGATTATAATACAACAGCAGCCATTAGTCAGAGACAGATGGTGATGATCTATTAAGCGGAGAGACTTAAGCTTTTCTCTTCCTCTTTCAGCCTGTGTCATGCCTGGGTGTTTGGGGAGATAGGGTGCCTTTGGTACGGCATTCAGGGCTTTGTGTTTGGCATCGGCTCTCTGCTCACCACCTGTCTCATCTCTCTGGACCGTTGCCTGAAGATCTGCTGCTTAAGATACGGCAAGTCTGAGATCGTAATGTACCATCCACTCAGGCATGCCTGCACTCTAAATCCATCTGACTCTTCCTGAATAAATTGGTTTATTTAAAATGTCTTGCCACACAGGCTTTTACACAAACCTTACTTACACAATATACGTATTATAGTCTCTGCACAAGACCCTTTCTTTCCTCTAAAAATGTATTGATTCAGTGTTTTCGATTTAAAAGTCATTGATTGATAATCGCTAAGGTGAGAGTAAAGGTCAATTAAATCTGCTGTTTCAAGATAGTAAAGTGAAATGTCGAGACCTCCAATGAGGTTAAGTGCACATAAATTGTCACACTAAGTTCTGTAAGTGGTTTAATGCTTCTTGGCTCTCTAGGTCAATGGATTGAGAGACGGCATGTGTATATGTCCATAGTGCTGGTGTGGGCTTACACATTGTTCTGGGCCTTGCTGCCTGCTTTTGGCTTTGGAAGTTATGGACCAGAACCATATGGGACCAGCTGCACCATCAACTGGTAATCTCTAATTGAATTTACAGTGCTGCTCAATACTCTATTGTTTACTTACACGAAAGTCGGCAGATGTCTGTGTATTCTCAGATTTCTTCAAGTATTTGCTGACAAACATGCGAGTGATAACCAGTCTGCCTGTCTAACTATTTCAAGGTGGAGCATGAGGTCATCTTTAATCGACAGAATCTATATCTTCCTCATCCTGATATTATGCTTTGGATTTCCTACACTCACCATCGTCGCTTCATATTTGGCCATCCTTCTGACGGTGAGGACAAGTTGCTTCATGACAGAAAATGGAGGGTTTGGGAGCTATGTGTATATAATGTCATTATTTTGTTCAGATGTATTAGTCACTTGTTCAAAGCTACAGTGTGTAGAATATCAAAATTGCAACTCTGGCACCTTCTTGTGCGAGTATTGAAAAAGGACACTGTGACAGACAGCAATGTATGCACAGTACCACCACCTCCTCTCGGATACAGGGGAATACCAAATGAAAAGGCCCTATTGATCCAGATGCTCAGGGCCCTCAAAGGCCCTGAAATCATTGTGTGTCCAGTTTGTAGTAATTTATGAATAACAAGATCTCTAGGGGAAACGGGTGCAACATTAAGCCTCATGGAGTTTAGCACGTAAGTTATTTTCTGTTTGACAAGCTTAAATTGGGGAATAACGGCCTGTGGGTGCTCTATCCAAACGAATCACAGTAAAGGCAAACTGTATCTATGTAAATAGACAATAGTTAACGTATGTGTATATGGAAATGCGCTTGTATATAAACTCCTGAAAGGACCCGTCCCAATCTGAGTGCCTCGAATTCACATTTCACGTTCCATCAAAAGACAAACAAGAGAGACACAGCAGCCAATCAGGACGAGGAACCCCACAGACTTGGCAGCATACATGTTATCAGACTTACAGCGCAGGAAGCAACAAAACACATTTAAAATGTGCTATAATTTCAATTAGGAACTCTTCACATAATGGCTTTAATGTATATGTGAGAGTTTTTATATGTTGACTTTGTCAGTGCTTGTGAATTGTGGCATAATTGCAAATAGCAGCATCAACTGTTGCTTCTGTTTTCAGGTCTACAGATCTAATCGCACTCTGGCGTCTATACCGTCCTCCTCTGTCAGGCACACTGGTAAAGACCTGAGACTTACAAAGGTAAACCATATGAGGATTGTTTTCAGACTCATTAATGAACATCCTGCAGGGAAAATAAAGCCATATGTTTATTTCAGATAGCTGCTGTGGTGTGCACCACCTTCCTCCTGGCCTGGATGCCCTATGCTGCTGTGTCTCTGTTCTCTGCACTCATTCCCAGAGATAATCAAGAGGCATCTTTACAGACTGTGGTGGAGGAGTCGACTGATATGGCCTCGAGCTCTCCAAGTGCTCCAAAGATCCTTGATATCCCCTCGTTGCTCAACTGGACCACTACAGAATATTACAGACAAATCTACTACCATCCCGAGAACAAGTGGAGCAATGTGAACAACAAGAATTCAGCCTCCATCAACGGCCTGAGCGACGCCACGTTCAGGTCCACCCTGGACAAAGAAGCTGAACCAATGACCGAGAGCCCCCAGCCGCTCTCCTCTCTCCCACCTGTAGGCACCTTGATCCCTGTTCTGTTTGCCAAGTCCCACTGCATGATCAACCCTTTAATATATCAGATCATGAACAGGGAGTTCAGGGATGACATCTACGCGATGGTGTGTGGCAAAGAGAAGGCAGAGAGGAGGCGAATGCAGGGGAGGAAGGAAAGTTTAACTGAAAGTAAGGAACATGAGTAAACCTACACTACTGGCACCTGTTTCTCGGAAAAATAGTACAAGTTGAGGTTCTTGCCACACAGGCCATATTGTTATTGTGTTTTTTTGTATCTTCTCTTTAAAGGAGCATCAGCCTCTCCTACTGCCAGACCTGGAAGAGGAGAAGGAGCCCTGTCTGTGGAAAGAAAAAACAGAAATCTGAAGAAACAGAAGAACCGGGGGAACAGGAGTGGAGGACGAACAGACTCCTGAGCAGATGAGATGTGGGGGGCTAATGCATTTGGACACTCAAGGCTGCACAGAGAGGCACTGCAGCATCGGTGGACAAAAGACAAGGAGAGATCTGAGGGGTCCACATTCAGATTAATATAAGATAGATAGATAGATAGATAGATAGATATAATCCCCCGTAAAACTGCAATTTCTACATTTTTACACTTTTCCTTGACCTCGATAGAAAACGTCATGGGGTCAAGGAAAGATGTGAAGGAGTTAGGAAAAGACAATCCAACTACACTTTCACTAAACTCCGTAATTATGATCCGATGGCAAATGTCACTAACGTAGGCCTGCCATGGCGAAACTACAACGAAGAAGGAATACAGAAATCGCAACGACAGCATTACTCCATGGAATTCATTGTATTAAAGCATTCAGGCTATTTAAAAAGCTCCTTCAGTGAGAGGCTGCTTCCCTCGTGTGAAGGAGAGGAACCGTAGCTCCTTCCTTCCTGCTGCTGTCACACTTAACACTCAACACTGCTTCAGTAGAAACTGACAATTCACTTATGCAATATCAATGAAACTGTTCAATATCAATATTTCCTTTGTGCAATAATGCAGATTCAAATGTTCGGTTATATTTAGCTTTTTAACAGTTTAAGAATTTATAAGCCTAGCTTTTACTGATGCTTCTTGTTATTCAGAATGACAATTTGTTCATTGACAGTTTGCTATATTTACTGTTCCTTTTATTTCGTATTCCTTGTTTTTTTTTAACTTATTTGTTACATGTTCAAAGTAAATAAATACATATAAAATTAAATGGAAGGATTGTCACTGTCTATTCATATTCATCAACATAAATCCCATTAGTTTATGACTGTATGAAAATAATTGGTAAACAGGTGCAAGATAGGCACATCGTTTGTTTTCATGGACGGCCGAAAGGTGTGTCACTTTAAATGTTGCCGTTACAAGGAATTGTGGGTTGGCATTATCTTCTATCCTTTCCTTAGCGAATGCTAAGGAAAGGTGCTTGAGAACGAGTATGCTAAGTATGCTATATGAGTATGCTAAGGAAAGGCCAAATCCCAGGCCCACTCCCTGTCCCCCTGACCTAAGGCCATAAACCCTGAACCCTCAGGGACTTACGGACATCACCTGGTAAATGTTTGAGTATGAGAGACTGTATAGGCACTGAAGTGGTGTGAATATGAATGGGACAGCACTTTGCTGCATCGTATCATGTTACCATTATGTGCAATTGTGGGTATTTATTTGAACTTTTTACTCTCTGAGTGAAACAGACTTTGCAGGAGCGTCTCAAAGTCTGTGAGGGCTGTCTCACAGACCTTTTGAGCCCTTTGTGAACCCTTTCCGTAAATCTGCATTTCTGCAGACTTTGCCCAAGGGAATTACCCACAATTCATAGCAACGAGACATTCAACAAGGGGTTACCACTGGAAGCATGAAGACGTTAAAAAGGTAAACCAAAAGGACAGCACATGGGTGTTCAGAATGGCAAATGACATTTATTTATAAACATTGAGAATTAAAGATGGAACATAAAAACACATGAAATCAGAGGAATGGAAACTTATGTTACACAGATTTATTGATCCAACATTTCATTTAGTCATTGAAGCTGTTTTGAAAAACACAAGTAAATAGATTATTTGAAATGACCTCTCATCATGTGAGGAAAGAGCCTGGAAGATGTTCAAATTAGGGAGTAATCTTATCATGGCGGCCACTTAGATACTTTCGGTCCATTTCACTCAGTTAGGAACCTTCCTAAGCAAAATGGCCTTTCTGACTGTAGCCATATTGTGTTTGTAATGTAATCAAATTACCATAACAATGTTGACACACAGTGAAAGTGGGACTGTGTTTTGGGGCAGGTGGTTGAATTGCCAGGTTAGTAATACATTTAAAAAAAAAAAACTTCACATAGTATTTGAAGATTTTAATATTATAATTGTATTTAATCGTTCACGTTTGGCTCCCAGTTTTATCCAAATCTGAACTAATTATTGTGTAAAACAAAGGGGAACAACAAGACAATAACATCTTGTTTTCCACAGAAAACAAACAGTTAATGGATCAGCGCGACTCTAGTCGAGTATTTACGGTAGCAGCTGCTCTCCCAATCCCGCAGCACTTGCTCCTCCTGCCTGCGGTCACATCTTGTTGCCAGAAATTCAGTGACAGTGGATTTTTTTTCCCGTTATTCATGCTCTGCGTCATTTCCTTCATTTAATCACTTTTATTTTGCAAGACATCTCATCGAGGCGCCGGTCCAGTGTTGCTGCAGTTTTATATCCTTGCTCGCAGCCCGTTTGGAGTCGCTTTTGGATGTTTTATTATGGACGGTTAGAGAGCACTGATCCGTCAGCCGGCGTTAAGACCTCTCAGCTTTAAGGATAAGATTCTTATTTAGAAACAGTTATATAATCGGGTAAAAATACTGGCATTCTGAGCGCACGTATTCCCGGTACGTTTAGCAGCTTATTATTTATTGTATTCGGTTGTGGCAAGACAATTCCCGTCCGTGTTGATGCCAGATCTGCAGCGCTTTAGTTTTCCATACCATAGCATGAATCCTTTGTTGGGGGCCAACGCGCATCTCCAACAGCATCCGCAGCAGAGTCAATCTCCCGGACACCCGGACTCTCCTTCAGGCCTCCTGTCCGACACCGTTTTCGGTGGACCCGACCCGACCTCCTTTTTGCTGGGTGAGCAGTCCGGGCCGGGGCCTGATCCGCCGTGGCCTGACTTCACCGCACCCTCACAGACGTCACTTTACCTCCCCCACAACCACAGCCACTACCACCATCGTGTCGTTTCGCACCCCCCTGCTGCCATGGCGCTTAGAAACGACTTGGGATCCAACATCAGCGTCCTCAAAACTCTCAATCTGAGGTTCAGATGCTTTTTAGCAAAAGTGCATGAATTAGAGCGTAGAAATAAGATTTTAGAGAAACAACTGCAGCAGGCGCTGGATGCCAACAAAGGCTGTCAAGGTGGATGCAGTGAGAGCAGGGGACATACCCAGGAGGCAGGTGTACAGACTGGATTTGTCGGGACCATACCTCTCAGGCCCGGCTCCCTCCCCTTCCACAACACCAACAACTCAGCCAGGAGGCCTACAACACTGTTCACACCTCCCCACGCTACAGCCCTCCCGACTGCAGCCGCCGGAAACTTCAGTTCAACCCAAACAAATGCCACTTGTAACCCAGCCATCACCATCAGCCAGGCCTCCCCCTGTGTGGACTCCCCTAGCTCTGGTTATAAAACTTTCTCCAACACCAGTGCAGGTCTTGGGAGCTCCACCAACCCTCCTCCACGGTTTCTCCCGGGCACCATCTGGTCCTACAACCACACACGCAAGTTTGGCGGTGTGGAGCGTCTGACCAGCCCAGGATCGTCCTGGGTGCACCCTGACGGAGTCGGGGTCCAGATTGACACCATCACCCCTGAGATAAGAGCCCTGTATAACGTCCTGGCCAAAGTGAAGAGGGAGAGAGACGAGTATAAGCGCAGGTAAATGAAGTAAAACCCATTTATTGTTCTTGTAACAGGCCTACAGGGGCATGAGATTGTACTGTAGTTTCCTTAAGTGTGTGTAATGTTCTACTTTGAAGCAGTGAACAAAGCTGTAAAGCAACTGCAGACCAGCTGTCTCCAACAGAAGCAGAGTCAGCGCAAACCCCTCTCCATCCATCACATCCAGCCTGACCCTGCAACCCTGCATCATGTCTGACCACAGAGGCAGGTGCTGCTGCTAGAAATACACCCAAACAAATTAACACGCCGCCAGCTAAATATAAAGAAGAATGAAGGTCAGTTATTAGCGGCGACGTGTGAAGCTCAGTCTGCTGCACAAATGTTCACTTCAGAGTTCGTGATGCTCCCAAGATGACTCACCCATGGGCGGCTTAGTTTACAGGACTATTAGGAACAATCCATCCTGACATAGAGGTCATGTTGATTGTACAGCAGACATTGATTTAATGAAACTGAGAAGATGAAAGACTGTAATGATGGTCCCATCTAACGACAAACCCTGGAGGTGATCCAGTTAGGCCAATGTGAATATTCATACAAACCCTATGATGATTCAACAGCACCCATAGTGATTTTACTGCGACTGATGGACATTTGAGAAGTACAGCTGTAAGCTTTACAAATGTTAAGGTTGACTTAGAGCTGAAATTCTATTGATTCATTTCTTTTAATTATTTAAGCAAACATTTAATTTTTTCGGCATTGTATTGCCATAGCAATTAATCAAGAGAATTAATCTGCATGTTAATTAATAATGAACATAATCGATAGTTGCTGCCCCAGCATCATGTAACATCTCTAAACCCACAACCACGTATTCATCATCAGTGCACTAGTTTACCACAATGTGTCACGATGACATCACCAGTTCAAATCTGGATGCTCTGATGTCCAATTTAGGGAGACAGCTGTCTGAGTTTGCAGATCACATGGAATAACTCACTGTGATCTCTCTCTTAGGGTGGATTTTCCCCTTTAAATTCTTGGCGAAAACAACCCACAACTGTTAAATCCTATCGTGACTTTGAAGGACATGAGGCCAGCTTTGGATTACGTATGATCTGTCCTGAGTGAACTACAGTAGCTCCATGTTCCAGCGCATTGAATTCCCTCATATTATGTCCAAATGAGCAGCCATGCATTCTTCACGGAGGAGATGCAGACCACAGTATAGTGGGCTCTTTGTCAATGAGGTAGAGGGACGACACTAACAGCCCAAATATGTGTGACATAAGATACACGATTTAATTGTATGGAGACTTGAGAGTTGCTCACCTGAGTATTCGTATTTTGTGCCACTACCTGTGAATCAAGGTGTGTGACATACATGTCCCACCTAGTATTCAAATCAGTTTCTGTTCAGTCCTCTGTAAGGGGTCTGGGCTGTTTCTCCACCTCTGTGAGGTGTCAGTTTTCTTCAGGACAATGGGACATTAAAGCCTGTTTCTCCAAGTCAAACTAATGTCCATTACCTATGCAGTCAAATATAACAACGGATTAATAATGAAATGTCTGTTGTTGCTCCTGTGAATGAATTTCTAGTATATAAACTCGCCTATGAATTAATTTATCTTAAAGCTTTTGGTACATTTTGCTTATTTTTTCACCATTCTCTAGCTCTTTTATTTATTAATGTTTACTTTTTTTGTTTAAGGAGGACTTCTCTTTCTCCCCCTTTAGCCTCCCTAAGCCCTCGCCCCTCACTCTGCCCACCACATTGTCACATTGTCTTTCTCACATCAACCCCCCACAATCTCCCACTCTGAACACTTCCTCCCATGCTCTCAGCCTCTCTTCTCTCCCACTGCGCATCCCCCTCTTCACACTCCACACTGTATCTGCAATGCAGCATGCACTGCAAGCTGTGACTGCTGGATGGGGGCTTGGCTTGCAGAAGGATGCGCCTCTCTGCTTTCTGTTCGCTCCCACCTCACTGATCAAACAAGCATCCTCTACAACAGCAACAACTCCTGTTTCATGACTCAAGTTTCTTTCAGATTTAGTATTCCCTAAAGGTCCCGATGTGCCGCAGCATTCTGCATTTAAAACAGCATTTATATAAGAAGCTACATCCTCTGCAGTGGGTCTGTATCCCCTGGGCTCGTGTGCTGTATGAAGTCGCTGAATCTGAGATTGCATACATACAGGATCTGTGCTCAGGCTTTTAAGTGTATTAAAAGTTCAGATTCATGGGCGAGCCGTCTGGGCTGCACCATAGTGGCACACAATTCATCAAACAAGCGATTTATTGAACAAAGTTGAATGTTGACTGATCCCGACATTGCAGTTTTTATATGGCTAGTCAGATGCACTTAAAATAGTTTAACATCTGCCAAAGTGCCTTTCTGCTCTTTTGTCCTTTCAACCTTCTGAAATAGTCACGTCATGGATCCCTTTTTACTGTAGTGGCCTTTCTAAGTGGATGCGGAAGATGCATAAATGGATGTGTATGTGAAAGCCCATGGTCTGTATGTTCTCTATTTACATTACAAGACACTAAAATATTGTTTACTTTTTTACATCCATGTGTCTCTTAGATGGGAAGAAGAATACACTATGAGGGTGGATCTGCAACAGAAAAATGCAGACCTAGAAGAGGTAACTTTGTGTGTGTGAGTGAGTGAGTGAGTGTGTGTCAGTAGACTAGACATGGCTGGAGACCAACAATGCAGTGGGTCTGAACTGAAGGTGTCTTTGAGTCTTTACATTTGAAAGCTTTGACATCAGCCAGAGTCATTAAAACAACCAAAAGAAAGTGCTAGATGCGACATTTCAGCTGTGGCTGAGCTAAACTACAAATACCATGAACATTACACCATGTGTGTTTTCCTGGCCCTTTAACAATATACAGTGTGTTAGTGGTAAAATAGCTTAGATGACACTTTTTGCTAAACTGTTAACATTAGTAAAAAATGTGTTTGTTTGAACACAGTATGCTGCTACAGTGATCAGCAGTAAGCTCTGACTCTGCTGGCACGGATTGTTTCCGATGGTTTTCTCTTTTCTTTGGCCACTGACCATTAGCTGATTTAAAAATACACCAACCTTTCTCATTTAAATGTTATAGAAATTATGCAAATGAAATGGAGCTTTTTTTCAAATGTCAAATTCACCTGCTGTCAGGCTGATTGCCATACTTGTGCTTCCTGCAGCTGTGTCTTTATAAACCAAAAGGTCTTTTGATTTCCTTTGTGTCTGTGTGTGTGGGTGTGTGTGTACGTACACGTGCACCTGTGCCATTGCCAGGAACCTGTACCTGACCTCGTTTAGCAGGCACCACATCAACAACAGGAGACCACAAGCAGTAAAAAATACAGTTGAGACCGAAAAGCGTCCTGACCAACATTGTTGCATATGAATAAGTAAACAGAGAGAAGAGAGGATTATGATGCCATTAGACAAACCTACAGCTCCCCAGAAGAGATCATGCATTTAGGATTTACAATGTTTTGTGCATTTTGCAGATATAGACTTTTATTAATTCTGTTGATGTGCTCTGCTTGCATAATGTGACCTGTCATTCCCAGTAAAGAGGTGAGGCAGCACATGCGGGTGTGGGAGTGTTTGCACTTGTATGTGTTTGTTCTTTATGATTTTTTATTTTTGACGTGTGCAGGACCTGCAAGAGAGTGAAGGCTGTCAGGACGAGCTGGCTGTCAGAGTTCAGCAGATGAAGGCAGAGCTGGTTATCTTCAAAGGCCTCATGAGCAATGTGAGCGCAGTGCAAACCATACAGTCACGTACTCTCTAAGCTATGCACATGGGCACTAATAAGAAACATTATATTATTATTTACTTGTATTAAGAAACCGCTCATAAAGGGTTCATAAGTTGTAATAGCTTGAGTGTGACGTCTGAAAAAAACCCCTCAATGTCATTGGACCATTTACTGATGCTTTATACATGAGTAATAAGAACTACTATGGGTTGTCAGGTGTTTATCCTCCTTCAGCTTGTCTTTTTAGTCCATTCATTTATGAGGACGACCCATCAATGGAGCGCTTGACTTCATAACACCTGAAAAAAGGTGTGTAAACACATAGTCATGCTGAAGGAGACTGTAAAACAGACAGACAAGTTTTAACCGAGCAACCCAAAAGTTGTTTTTATTAATGGCTTATATGAAGCATGGGTAATGCATTCATAGATAAACCTTTTTTAATTGAATTCCTGGTATGTATCTTGGTATGGCTCCTTCCATTCTCTCTGTAGAACTTGTCAGAGTTGGACAGTAAGATCCAGGAGAAAGCCATGAAGGTGGACATGGACATCTGCCGCAGGATCGACATCACCGCTCGTCTCTGTGACGTAGCTCAGCAGAGGAACTGTGAAGATGTGATCCAGATGTACCAGGTACCAGCGCTAAACCTGACCAGTCAATGTTCTCATCTCTGGTTGTTTTATTTCTTCCACGTTGTGCTGGGCGATGTGGCAAAATCTTCTATCCCGATATAGGTCATTTAATATCTATATATATCACGATATAGCATGTTTTCTGGTAATTCAATAAATACATAGTCTACATGAAATGACCACACGGTAAAGAATATTTCTGTGCTTTTGTAGCCTATTTATACTCTTACCCTATAATTTAGACAACTTAATTGTGTATCAATATATCTCAATATATGATTTCATCACAACATTTCAATGAAAAACTATAAATTATCATAATGAATTATTGCCAGCCCTAATTCCATGAGTTGTAAAGTCCCTTTATGTGAAACTTTGTCTTGATAGCGATGGTCTAAATCCTGATTGTGTCCCTCCAGGTTCCTAACATCCAATCGTCCCTAAACGTCCGCCGGAAACAAACTCCTCTGTCTTTCAACGGTAGCGAGTGTGACGAACCTGTCAGCACCTCTGAAAGTGATGGGGGAGTGGTCAAAGATGAAGAGCACTGTGGCTCATCAGCCAATCAGATCAATGAGGAGATGCAGAGGATGCTGAACCAACTGTGGGTGGTCTGACTTTGAAATATGATATAATGTTAGTGTCCTTCAGTCCTGCCCTTCACCAGGTTATTTGTCAATGTGTGTGTACATTTATGTTTTTATTTTAGACGTGAATGTGAGTTTGAGGATGATTGCGACAGCCTGGCCTGGGAGGAGACTGAAGAGACACTGCTGCTCTGGGAGGACTTCCCAGGATGCACTCTGCCTCCTGACCCCACCCACCCACCAGGAGAGGTAGGCCAGGGTCACACGACTTATTTCAATGAGATCAGGTTTAAAGGAATGGACTTGGACCTAAATACAGGGGATGGAAAAAACAATGGCAACACTTAGACAATGTAATGCAATCCAACACAACGTCTAACTTTGTGAAGCTTATAATGCTCAAATTTGTTAAAAGTACCCTCTTAACTGTGTCAGAGACGTAATGATTCAGCTCTGTGGTCGTTTTTGTCATGATTTGCTGAACTGTGTCCACACATACAGTACCCTGATGACAAGCCCCAGATGTATTCATTCAAGTCTGCGTCTGATAGAATTTGTCCTATATTTACTGATAACTGTAATATGATTACTTCTGGACTGTATGATTTCAGCCAAACATTAAGCATGTAAGGATGACCTTTACCGGAATCTGGTTTTGAATATGAAGAAAACCAGTTTTTACATTTTCTGTCATGATAAACTTATTAAAAAGAAACTAACACAATAAATATGCACACCATGTTCATTTTGCTATTACTTTTATGAATCATTCATGCCTGGCCTTTAAAGCAATTCTTTGATGACAAAGTTAAAGTAGAATTTGTGTCTGTGATCAGGATCTGCACCTTTTTTCACTTCAGACGGCTGCATGTGTGTATTGATATTATTGGTTCAGATTTCAAAGAAGCTTTTAAAGTTCTGATTGATTGAGTTGATGTGCAGAGCAGCAGCAGCATGATATGTTGGTCGATACAGTTTTGTCTCAGGCGATGACACGAACCTTCACCGCTCTACTACGGCAGGGCCATTTCAGGACAAAACACTACACACACACACACAGACACAGACAGGCAGACAGATGCAGTGTCTGCGCCTGTATTGGTATTCAGTGTGTTTGTTTCCAAGAAATGCATGTTGGTGTTTGTTTTCATTCACCGGCTGTGTGGTACTTGAACAATCAGCTGAAGAGAGGAACTGCATTAGTCAGTGAAAGTTGAGCTGATAGGAGCATAAAGCCATCTGTACTCTGATAGTCGTGTCACCTCTCTAAGTGTCTGATTGAGCTATAATTAGCACACAAACACATGTACTGTTTACTGCAAGTGTTACTGCATTATAATCACATGCATGTCCACATCCTGACCACAGACATACTCAAAAT